CAGCAACACAGCCAACATTAATTATCTTAAAGACAATGAATTAGCCAGGCTTAGCCCTGCACAGGCTGAAGCAGCAGCTGCCACACTGAGGGATACAAAGCCAGGTATTTCAGCTCATCCCTATGACAGAGGTGCTCCAGTTGTTAGGAGCAAGGCAGGCGCCCCACTTCACTTTCCCTTTTTGAATGTCCGTGAAGATGACGCACACAGTTGGCCTGATATTCATCATGAAGAGAGCATTAATGATCAGCCACAACCAACCTCAGTGCACACTATTCCACCTGTCATACCCCAAAACACACAGCCAACTCTGCCACAAGGACAAAGCCCCCCTACGCCCAGCACAGCAAAGGATGACCACATGATTCAAATACTGGAGAATCAAAGCAGCTTGACGAGGATACTTGTGAAACAACATCTTCTCTCGACGCTGCCTTTATCCACTCCTTTGAACATTGTATTGAAAACAAAACGGACAACAACAGAGACAGGTTGCAGTTCCTTATACAGTTCACCAGAGGCCAAGCTCAGCGGCTAGTCAACAGCTGTGAATACATGTCTCCAGACAGAGGCTTTCAGAAAGCAAAACGTTTACTGAAGGAACACTTTGGGAACGAATACAAATTCTCTTGTGCTTACCTGGAAAAAGCTATATCCTGGCCCCTAGTGAAATCTGAAGATTCAAGGTCGCTGCAGGATTACGCCATGTTTCTAAGGAGTTGCTGCAACGCTATGGAGGAAATGGAGTACTTGGAGGAACTCGACACAGTGTCCAACATGAGAAGCATTGTGCTTAAGCTTCCATACAAGCTCAGGGAGAGATGGCGCAGCAAAGCTTACGCACTGCAAGAGGAGCGCAGTCGTAGAGTAAGGATTTTAGATCTTGTCTATTTCATTGAAAGGCAAGCTCGCATAGCAGCAGACCCAGTTTTTGGTGACCTTCAAGACCAGTCAGCTGCCAAAGGAAAGGTGGCTGTAAAGACTAGATGTCCTGTTAAGTCGCAGATCTCAAAGGCCTATGACAGCAGTTTTGCCACAGGTGTCACTATTTCCCCAAAAGAACCAGAGCCTGAACCCTCCTGTCCCTTCTGTAGGTGCAAGCACACATTGGAACTGTGCAAACGGTTCTTTGAAGAAACACATAGGAACAAGCTGAACTTTGTAAAGATCAAGGGCATATGCTTTGGCTGTCTCTCTATTGGCCACATTAGTAGAGACTGTAAACAACGCCTCACCTGTAGAGTTTGCAAGCAAGCCCACCCAAGTGCCCTGCACCTCTATGTTAAAGATGGTCCGACTAAACAGACTGAAAGGCCCTCTGGTGTAGCAGGCAGAACCACAGCAGAGTTATGTGGCCACATAGGGGCCGGAGAACAACAGCAAGTGCTGTCTATTGTCCCAGTGCAAGTTAAGGCAGCAAAAGGCAGTCAAGTCTTTCAAGTCTATGCCCTCCTGGACCCTGGTTCCACCGTTACCTTCTGCTCCGAAGCGCTGATGTCTAAACTCAACCTGAAAGGCAGAAAAACACATATTCTGTTAAGCACAATGAATCAGAAAAAACTGGTGCCATCTCATGTCATACCTGGAATTGAAGTTTCAGCACTGAACAGCGACAACTTCTTACCTCTTCCTGACGTTTTCACCCAGAGAGAAATGCCAGTCACCTCCATTAGCATTCCCAACCAGAATGACTTAACGCAGTGGGCGTACCTGAATAAAGTCCAACTTCCCAGTATCAGTGCTAAAGTGGAATTATTAGTTGGCACGAATGCTCCAAAGCTGTTAGAGCCATCGGAGGTTATTAACAGCCAAGGTGAGGGCCCCTCCGCAGTAACAACTCTATTGGGGTGGGTTGTAAATGGGCCACTCAGAAATGGCGGTGAGGGCAGTACGGCGAGAGTGACTGTGAATAGGATATCTGCCACAAGTTTGGAAGAGCTTCTAATGTCACAGTACAACCAGGACTTCAACGAAGTGTCATCTGAGGAAAAGCCAGAGATGTCAGTTGAGGACAAAATGTTTTTGAAAGTAGCCAGTGAGGCTACCCTGCAAAACGGACCCTACAGTCTAAAGTTGCCTTTCAGGAAAGCCAATGTCAGCATGCCTAACAACCGCCAAATTGCAGAACAGCGCCTGCAGGGCTTAAAAAGGAAGATGAAGGGGGACCAGCACTACAAGCAGGAATACGTTGCATTCCTCAACGACATCTTGGAGAACAACTATGCAGAGGAGGTCCCACAGGAAGATCTGACACAGTCACCCGGACACAAATGGTACATGCCACACCATGGGGTGTACCACCCCAAAAAGAAAAAGCTTAGAGTGGTTTTTGACTGTGCAGCCTCTTACCAAGGCATGTCCCTGAACACAGAGTTACTGCAGGGACCTGATCTGAATCATTCTCTTGTGGGAGTCATTGTGAGATTTCGCAAAGAGCCAATTGGATTTATGGCCGACATAAAATCAATGTTCCATCAGGTCAGAATGGATACATCTCATGTGGACTACTTGCGGTTCCTGTGGTGGCCACAAGGTGATACCAGTAAGCCCCCAAAAGAATACCGCATGCTGGTGCACATGTTTGGTGCCGTGTCCTCCCCAAGCTGTGCAATTTTTGCGCTACAAAAGACGGCTGAAGACAATGAACATGGGTTCCCACCTCAAGTAGCTGAAACTGTCCGAAGCAACTTTTATGTTGATGACTGTGTAAAGTCAGTCTCAAAAGAAACTGAAGCCATCCAGCTAGTGAAGGACCTCACTGCGTTATGCAGGAGAGGGGGGTTTCAGCTGACCCAGTGGGTTAGCAACAGCAGAGCAGTTCTGGCCTCCATCCCCACAGAGCAAAGGGCAAAGGATGTTAGGACTTTGGATCTCGACAAAGACAGTGTCCCCATTGAAAGAACATTGGGTTTGCAGTGGGGTGTGGACTCTGACCATTTCCAGTTTAACATCCATCTCAACCAGAAGCCACATACACGAAGAGGAATACTTTCAGTTGTAAGTTCAATCTTTGATCCACTCGGCTTTCTGGCTCCTCTGATTCTCCCAGCCAAGCAGTTGCTACAAGAGCTCTGCCAGAGAGGCTTCGGGTGGGACGAACCTTTGCCCCAGACTATATCAGATAAATGGATCGAATGGATAGCAAGTCTGGAGAGGATAAAACACTTCCAAATGCCTCGCTGTCTGAAGCCAAAGAGCTATGGAACACACACGTTTGCACAGCTGCATCACTTCTCAGACGCCAGTGAGAATGGCTATGGCTCAGTAAGCTACATCAGGCAGGTTAACATTCAGGATGTTGTTCATGTTGCCTTTGTCCTAGGAACATCCAGAGTCCTTCCTTTAAAGCACATCACATTACCGCGGCTGGAGTTGGTAGCTGCAACACTGTTGGTGAAGGTGGACAAAATGCTGAGGAAAGAACTACACATGGACTTAAACCCCTCAGTCTTCTGGACGGATAGCCAAACAGTACTCAAGTACATCGGTAATGACTACACTAGGTTTAAGACCTATGTTGCCAACAGAGTGTCACTGATTCGTGACAATAGTGAACGGTCTCAATGGAGATATGTAAGCAGCAAGGAAAATTAAGCATATCAGATCGGACAACGGTACAAACCTGGTGGGTGCCCAAACTGAGCTCAAAAAGGCCATGAGTTCACTAAACGAAGGGAAAATCCAAGGCGCTTTGCACCCTGAAGGAATCCAGTGGAGTTTCAATCCACCGGCGGCCTCACATTATGGTGGAGTCTGGGAAAGACTCATAAGATCTGTCCGTCAGGTGCTGACCTCCACTCTCCATCAGCAAACCCTCGACGATGAAGGCCTACAAACCATCTTCTGCGAGGTAGAGTCCATTCTCAATAACCGTCCTCTCTCCACCGTGTCCTCCGATCCACACGACCTGGAACCACTGACTCCCAATCACATCCTCCTGCTAAAAACGCAACCCATCCTACCTCCGGGAACGTTTCAGAGATCTGACCTCTATGCCAGGCGCCGCTGGAAGCAGGTCCAGTACATGGCGGATCTGTTCTGGCATAGATGGACACAGGAATACCTCCTGCTGCTCCAAGAGAGACAGAAATGGAACACAGTGAGGAAAAACTTTAGCGTTGGAGATGTCGTCCTGGTAGTTGACCCAACTGCTCCACGGGGGCCATTAGGCAGAGTACTGGAGACCAAGCCTGATGCAAGAGGTCTGACCCGTACAGTGAAGCTCCAGACGAAAACCTCCATTATCGATAGGCCAATAGCGAAACTGTGCCGCCTCCTGGAGACGGAAGAATAATAGGTCTTCTTAAACATCAATAAGGGATGTAATGTATATACTTTATTTTTCTAAATTCATTATTCATTGGTCGTTTTACGGCTCCCTTTTTGCTAATTTGAGTAATTGATTCTGAGAGAACAATTAGTGGCCGGTGTGTAGGAGCCACATTTAAGTTTATTTTGTTTTGATTTATTTGGAACCTTTATTAATGCATTTTTCTATTTCAGTGAGAGGTGTGCTTTGCTCAGGTGAAGGGGGCGGGGCTAAGGCTTTAAATTGGAGGTGCGGTGTGTGACGAGGGGCAGCAGGCAGCAGCAATACCGTCATTGACACGCAGACGCAACCTTATGCTTAGTCAAATACAGATTATTAGGATCTGCTGTTTAAGTTTGTTACATATTGTTTTCGTATTTTGTTTTACTGGAAATAAAACGTTGAAAAGCAACAGAAACGTCCAGTGGATTGTGTGCTGCGAGTCTGACACTGCTTCCGAGGCCCAAGCTCTACATGTGGCCAAGAAACAATGACTTTTGAGGTGAAGGTTACAAGACAAACTTTTTGGGATTTTGGCCACTACATGTAACATTTGTGATATTGGGCTATATAAATAAACATTGATTGATTGATCGCCATGACAACCAGCAGTCAGCACACCAGTGTGTGTGTGTGTGTGTGTGTGTGTGTATGTGTGTGTGTGTGTGTGTGTGTGTGTGTGTGTACGTACCTGGTGTATCTCCTCCAGCAGGGGGGTGAACAGGTCAGTGTTGTAGGTACTGAGTGTTCCCTGAAGGACGCTGACCAGACGCTCCAAACCCATCCCTGTATCAACAGAGAGGAGGGGGAGGGGCTGCAGGGAGAGGTCCGCCTCCCTACACACACGTGAATTTATAATCATCTTAAAAAATAATTTCCATGTAAAAAAAGTCACAGTTTGTCGTAAAACTGTTGAAATATAAGACTATGAAAAATATGCTAGAAAAACTACAAATCCCAGAATCCCGGTCGAGCCAGTATAGCGTTAGCAGTTAGTCGGTTCGTAAGAGTCTTACAGAACCGACTAACTACCCTTGTGTGTATGTACAGCTCTCAACATGCCCATGAGTGATTTACACTTCTTAATACTTTTCGCCTACTTTCACTTTTTTATTTTGACTTGCAATGATCTTTTAAATTGACAAACATCATATGTTTAATTCGTGGCAAAATTCAAATGGGATCGAAAGATAATCTGCGCAGAATGCTGGGCATTTAACATGCATTTAAACAGTCCTTCGGTGCCACTTGATTACGTAGTATACTTGAAATAGTGGCTCTGCAGCAGGTTTACTCGACATTGAGAAATGGCCTCTGTCCTACACGGCTTGTTGGAGCTCCTGCCCCCCCCCTCACTGTGCTCTGATTGGTCAGCTCGCCCACTCTGTTCTGATGAGTCCACCACCGTTACAGCAGAACATCAGTGATTATGTTTTATAATGGCGTTTGATAGCAACCAGGAAATGACACCAGTAATGACAAACAGATGAGAATGCTGCGTGGGGTCTGGGTGCCGTGTTGGGGGGACGTTGGGGGGCTCGCTGCTCGAGCAAACAGTGAGAGCCGCTCCTCCCCGTGAGGCTCGAGGAGCGGACAGTGAGAGCCGCTCCTCCCCGTGAGGCTCGAGGAGCGGACAGTGAGAGCCGCTCCTCCCCGTGAGGCTCGAGGAGCGGACAGTGAGAGCCGCTCCTCCCCGTGAGGCTCGAGGAGCGGACAGTGAGAGCCGCTCCTCCCCGTGAGGCTCGAGGAGCGGACAGTGAGAGCCCCTCCTCCCCGTGAGGCTCGAGGAGCGGACAGTGAGAGCCGCTCCTCCCCGTGAGGCTCGAGGAGCGGACAGTGAGAGCCCCTCCTCCCCGTGAGGCTCGAGGAGCGGACAGTGAGAGCCCCTCCTCCCCGTGAGGCTCGAGGAGCGGACAGTGAGAGCCCCCTCCGTGAGGCTCGAGGAGCGGACAGTGAGAGCCCCTCCTCCCCGTGAGGCTCGAGGAGCGGACAGTGAGAGCCCGCTCCTCCCCGTGAGGCTCGAGGAGCGGACAGTGAGAGCCGCTCCTCCCCGTGAGGCTCGAGGAGCGGACAGTGAGAGCCGCTCCTCCCCGTGAGGCTCGAGGAGCGGACAGTGAGAGCCGCTCCTCCCCGTGAGGCTCGAGGAGCGGACAGTGAGAGCCGCTCCTCCCCGTGAGGCTCGAGGAGCGGACAGTGAGAGCCGCTCCTCCCCGTGAGGCTCGAGGAGCGGACAGTGAGAGCCGCTCCTCCCCGTGAGGCTCGAGGAGCGGACAGTGAGAGCCGCTCCTCCCCGTGAGGCTCGAGGAGCGGACAGTGAGAGCCGCTCCTCCCCGTGAGGCTCGAGGAGCGGACAGTGAGAGCCGCTCCTCCCCGTGAGGCTCGAGGAGCGGACAGTGAGAGCCGCTCCTCCCTGGCCCCGTCTCAGGTCGGTTAAATGAAATCCTTGCTTCCCTCACTTGCGTCGTTTCTCTGCGTTTAGTCCCTCCCACCAGGGAAGCATGGAGGGACGCAAGGAAACCACGAGAAGCAGGGAAATGAGTTTTAAGAGCAATGGGACGTCCTTTCCTCCGGAGCGTCACGTGAAGCAACGTCCGTTTGTGATGACGCGGCACAGCTGATCGTCTGACAGCAGCTCTGTCCCCGTTGTGTTCACAAACACCCCCGCCTCTGTTAGTACACATTTACTGACACAAACATTTGTATCATCTGTTGTAGACCCCAATAAATAAAATAAAATAAGAACTAATTCTCAAAAAAGATAAACGCCATTCTTAAAATGTATAAACGAACAATAGTTGGATTAATATTGATTAGAGTGCACAATAGAAATAAAATAATTGAGAGAAGAAAAAGATTCAATTAAATTCAAAACCTTTATTTATCAGGTAAAATCCCATTGAGATCAATGATCTCTTTTTCAAGGGAGACCTGCAGCAGTAGGTTCCACAAGAAGACATAAAAACATAAAAACCAGAACAACAAAAGGACATCATACAGCATCATTACAGGGATTACAATTTACATATTTAACCACATGTACAGGTACCAACAGCATCTGATTGAGTAGCATCCAACCGAGCTTTAAAAACATGTAGTGGTACTAGCTTGGTAATTTTCCATTCTTTTTGCAGACTGTTCCATGTTAGTGGAGCTGCACATCTAAAAGCTTTCTTCCCTAAGACAGTCCTAGCACTTGGCACATTTAATAAAACCACAGCATTCGATCTCAGGCAATAAGTACTTTCAATTCGCAGAGAGATCAGAGAGCAGATATAAGATGGTAGTTTATCCAACATGGCTTTGTAAATGAAAAAGTACCAGTGACTGAGCCTCCGTACAGTTAGTGATGGCAGACCTGCCTTGGTATACAGGGTACAGTGATGCGTAAGTGCTTTACAATTTGTCAAAAATCTCAGTGCGCTGTGATACGCAGCATCTAACTTGTTCAGGCAATGGGCAGCAGGTGCATTCATATAGATCAGATCACCAGAGTCCAGCACAGGTCAAAAGGTCACAGAGCCTTTTCCTGGCCTCAAGAGAGAAACAGGACTTGTTCCTGTAGAAGAAACCTAGCCTAACCCTCAGCTTTTTAAGCTTCATTGACATGAAGTTTAAAAGAGAGACAATCATCAAGCCAGATACCAAGGTATTTGTAACAGGTAACCACTTTGAGTACTTGTCCTTGCATAGTAACAATATCCAAAGCAGTGTCTGTAGTCTTTTTAGCTTTAGAAAAGAGCATTACCTTGGTTTTCTCAACATTTAAAAGAAGCTTTAGTTCAGAGAGCTGAGTCTGAATAATGTTAAAAACAGCCTGTAATGTAACACCAGCCTCCTGAATGGAGGGACCTGCACAGTACATCACGGTATCATCCGCATAGAAATGTAAAGTAGCTTCATCCACATTTTCACCTAAACTGTTGATATGGAGAATAAAAGTGGACCTGAAACAGAACCTTGAGGAACACCATTAGCAATGTTTAACCACTCAGAAGACAGCCCATCAAAGTGAACACATTGGGACCTTTCAGAGAGGTAGTTCACAAACCACCCACTGCATGGCTGGATATGCCGATACTGAGTAGCCTCTGCTTTAAGATGCGATGATCGACGGTGTCAAACGCTTTGGATAGGTCAATAAATAGAGCTGCACAACTCTGCTTATTATCTAAAATACTCTCCACATCATTCACCACTTTCATTGTGGCAGTGATGGTGCTGTGTTGCTTTCTGAAACCTGACTGATGTTTAGACAGGATGTCATTGTTACATAAAAACACCTTTACCTGTTCACTCACTAGGCGTTCAAGAACCTTCGCCAGACCTGACAACTTAGAGATTGGCCTATAGTTATTTAATAAGGTGGCCTCCCCTCCTTTTAGCAAAGGCAGGACATACGCTGACTTCCATACTTTTGGAATTGTGTTAGTGCTGAGGGAGAGGTTAAAAAGAGTAGTGAGAGGTGGAGCAATAAAATCTGCAGCTATCTTTAAAAAGAAAGGTTCTACGTTGTCCGGGCCGGCCGGTTTCTTAGGATCTAGCTTAGATAAGGCTTCACGAACAACATCAACAGTAAAAGGAGTAAAACTGAAAGGGTTTTCCAGACCACATTGTTCAGAGTCACGGATTGGGGTGTTCACAGCAGCAGAGTTAGAAACAGAATCAAACAGAGAACCACAGGACACAAAATGCTCATTAAAACAATTTAACATGGTGGCCCTGTCCGATATAGAGCCAGATGCTGGGAAGGCACGGAGGTAGCTCATTACGGATATCGCCGGTGGATATCGATTTTATGGCTTTCCAGAATTTTCTAGGATTATTTAGGTTCTTTGTGGTAACTGACAAATAGTACTTAGATTTAGCACTTTTGATTTGTGAAGTGAAGCTATTCCTTAGCTGCCTGAAACGCAGCCACTCTACCTCTGAGCCTGATCTCCTAGCCTTTGCCCAGGCCTTGTTTCTCTCATGAAGGAGACTGGACAGATTAGCAGAAAACCAAGGATTGTTTCGTCCCTTTCACTCTAAATGTAGGCAGGGGTGCATGTCTATCTATGATCTCCATAACACCAAGATAAAAATAAGACCATGCGGTTTCTACATCAGCACACAGATCGATTTTACCCCAATCAAACCCAAACAGATCATGCACAAAACCCTGCTCCACAAAATGTTTTGTGTCTCTCTTGATAATAATACGAGGTTTAACCTTTTGGACCTTAGTGTCCCTAATTGTGGCTACAGCACAGTGGTCACTCAGATCATTCTCAAATACTCCCACAGATGAGTATTTATGGGGAACATTAGTTAAAATGAGATCAATTAGGGAGGATTTATTAGGGGACTTAATGTTAGGGCGAGTAGGACTGTCAACAATCTGAGTAACATTTAAAGAGATACAAAGGTTTTTAAAATCCTCTGACACTGCAGTTAACCAGTCCCAGTTCAAATCTCCAAGTAGCACTATTTCCTTGTAGTCTAGTTGAGATAAAAGATTTGCTAGTGAAGACAAGGAGTCTTTGACAGCTGAGGGGGGTCTGTAACAGCCCACCACCATGACCTGTTGACCCTTTGCCACTTCTATATTTAAGGCTAAAAATTCAAATTGCTTACTGATCGATTTGGAAACTAATGTGGTTACACTGAACTTATTCTTAACATAAATGGCAACGCCACCACCTTTATTAGGCCGGTCGGTACGATACACATTAAAACCATTTAAGGCAATGTCAGAGGCCAAAATAGATTTGTTTAGCCATGTTTCTGATAAAACAATGATGATATATGTTATCTATCAAAGCCCAGTTAGATGAACATTCATTGCACACTTTGTGTGTTTGTGTGGATATGCAGCACATTAACATTTCAATAGCACTT